CTTCCAATAGGATGTAACAAAACTAAACATCGATCACTACAGTGTCATTACTGTTTGTAAAGCAATAATTTAACTTGATCTTTATCACATAGCCAAAATTTGTAGTATGTTTTGAGGTTCGAATGAATCTTTCACATTTTGGAATTCTTACTCATTATGGAGATTATGAAACTAGATATTCTGTTTGGTATACCTCATCTTAAAGCTTATAGAAGAGTAGAGGTTCTTGCACTACCCATTATTGCTGAGGTGACTTTTATTTCGTGTGAAAGCGTGCGTTGAAAAAATTAATAAATCATCATTATAAGGCGATGATGGATTTCTCCTGGTCTGCTTTTTGACTTTCTTCGAAGGCATGTGCTGACGCAGACCTAGAGTCACCATCCTTCCTATGTCTTCCTTTTCTTCGCATTTTCACAGAGAATACAAGTCAATTAAATTCGTTTTCATGCTTATAATCGTTGTACTTTTGTCTCAAGACACACTCCTTATATTTTTTTCGTTTGCATTCATTCCATTTGTGGTTCCAGACCAATTTGAGGCCTCCTTCAGGACCCGTATTCTCGAGTTGATGCAATCTAACCCGCAGAACCTTCGACAATGCGATCAGCCACCCTCAAAGGAGGCCGCGTCCTATCGACGTATGCTCACAACCCTCTCCACGATTCCTTGAAATCTATTCCTCACCTCGCTTCATCACCCCCAATAGTTAAGCTCTTCTCTTAAGATAAAAAATAATTTTCCAAAGAAGTTACAATTTATTTATGTATATCTACTATTGAGAGCCCCTGTTTGAGGAATTTTGTGATCGTCGGCTGGTCTTGTTCTAAATAGATTTAAGGTCAGTCTGATCAGCACAAAAACGTGTAGAATTCATCAAGCAATCAGGTAGCCCTCCTCGTGAATACTTTTTATGTTTTTGCAATGATCTAGTGGTACTTTTTGTCTAGAAAGAGAAGAGGACTTGCCATTAAACTGGTAGACACATTCATCCATGTTGGAAAGGGAATTTATCTAAATGCATAACTTCGACCTATATTTTGCTGCTCTTTCGCTAGCAAATGAGATTTCTAGTTGCTCATCATACTATCATTTGTTATCTGCTACTTTCTTCATTTCGGCTTTACTTTTCTTGTTCTCTGCTACATAGATGCACGCAAAAGCACATCACACACACTGACATATATAAATGCACCCACACGCTTGCAAAGTACCCCATTAATCATTTATAATCTTAATCCTTTGGATGTAATTTTGATTTATCCCTTCTGGACATTAAATAGGTTTTTCCATTCGCAAACGACTATATAAACAATCATTTTCGGGGACTTATTCCCTCACTCTTCGTAGCGCTGTGTAAAATTCCTTTGCTCCTTTTGGATTACGCGACAACTCATTCAAAAGTGGCATCTATTTGCTGTTACCATGAGCCTCATCCATGCGGAGCTGCCATTTCTACCGGAGCCAACTCACCTACCTACTGTCTGTCCAATAGATCTAACGATAACTCGACGTCAAATAACTGATATTACTGCTATCCTCGTTGAAGCCAACTATTGATGGTTCACAATTCTGACTGTCCGCCATTCTTTCTTTCTCTGGGTTTACAATTCGCAGCATAGTTGCTTCCCCTTGGATTAAGTAACCAGAGTATTCTTTCCAAATTTAGAAGATAGAACCCCCCAGCTGCTTGAGTCTTAGGTCCGCCGATTCCCTATTGCCACACTAATCTTCAAGTGTAAATCATTCCATAGTTATGCCTAGTAGGATGACCTAGAACGACGGCCAACAAAAATATACCCTCAGAGTCAAAAGTTGTAAGCCAGCAGCCTTCCAGCTAAATTAGGCCACATGTCGCCGTGGCCGACTACACCCCTTTTTCGTGCCTATGAAGATATGCTGAAGATTTTTATCTCACACTTAACTTGTTAACTTCAATTAAAGCAATAATTTGATAAAGTTTGTCCGCAAAAGTTATAAACTATCCACATGTTGGTGTCCCTGTTACCACATATGCGTATATATTCAACACAAGCTTCTTCCGTCTCAATTCTACTTTTTACTAGCCATCCATCCGGATGTAATTTAAACACCTAACTTGAAGTTTTAAACAAGCAGTGAGATAAAAGGGCTTGTAAGTTTAATGATATCATATTTTTTCATTTACAAAATACTCATATTGACTATCTTCTTGAAATAGAAAGCAAAATTAGAAGTCTTGCGGTAATTAAAAGAACCAAACAATTTTATAGAGCCTATCCTTAAATACTCGTTGATTTGACCTGAGGAATCATCTGCACAAGCGTTTTCCGTATAGGATAAAAAGTTAGAATGTTCTGCTCGCAAGTGGTCGTACTTTTATTTCCAAGAGATTTTCCTGTCAACTTCTCCACGCGTCATGCTTATGCTTATTAGTTTTTTACGAGTAAGAGATGAGCTAGAAGCATGCAATTGGTTTTTGTTGGCTACTGACTGGAAATCGACGCTTCCCTGCCGAAACCGAAGAAATGCAGAGGCTTAATAGGGGGCGAACTCAAAATAAAAAATAAATAGGTCGAATTATGATGCATTTGGTGCTTAACACACGCTCATTACTCTCCTTATTATACTCGAATATGCTTACGCTCATAGTTTTTTAACTCGAAAATATAGCAAACTTTATTTCATATACACGAAACTTTACAAGCGCCAAAATGCATATGCAAATATTAGGGACAATTAGAAAATTTTGTACATCGGATGCTTGAGGATAAATCCATAGGTTTTAAGGACGGAACGTTAGTGAGGCAAGGAAATGGAAGATGCATGAGCCGATGTGTGTTAAGTCAGCATAAGAAGGATAGGATGACGGATTTCTATTGCTCTTCTGGAACAGTTGTAAGGCGTTGGAATTCTTCTCTGAAGATGAAGTCGATGCCGTGCAGTAAATAACCACAAAAAAGTTTGAAATGGATAGTGTATTAAATGCATAATCCAACTTATTTTCAGTAACTAATAGAATAAAATTCAAGATGCTTGGACAGATATTAAGCGTGAAGTGGTGATGGAGTATGCTAGATTGTAGGTTGTAAAGAGTTTATTAATAGCAATGGTGAATCTTAGCGGAATAAAAATATGCTTGCTAGCTGTTGCTACTTCTAGGCAAGGCGAATTTTAATACTAACGCGACCGAGAACCTAGAGAGCAGTGAATTTGTCAGTCGAGGCACATCAGCGTGGGTGAAAAGTTGATGCGAAGCTGGTGTTTTACTACCGGGCGCCTTTATCAGTCTCAAGACCTCCAAGATCTGTCTCAATGGAGGGTTCGTGGAAGAGAGTTGGAGGCGCAGTGTTGATCAGGCCATGCAAAAGGGAGTGTGCAGGAAGCGAAGATGCTGATTGTGATCCGCCAGATGAGGTGGCCACCGAAGGTTGTTCAGCTAGGGACGAAGCTAAGGATTCTTCATCCTCTTCTGAGCTAGTTCTTTCAGTGTCGACTTCTTCTGAGCTAGTCCTTTCAGTGTCGACTTCTTGCTGGATAAGGGCTGCTTCAGTTACTATCCAGTTGCCCGAGTCTTGTTTCGACCTCCGCCTCGGAATTATCACCGGCCAAGTCTCCTCAGCTTCATTTTTGGCTAGCCCTAGGGAGGGACTGAGGGAAGGACTAGCCACTCGAACGACTTGACTGGCGCTTTGACTAACGCTTGAGACTTCGTCCTCCTCGGCTGTTGTCGCAGATGGTTGGCCAAATGCGCCTTTGCCATCATAAATTGCTTGGTCAAGGACGACAAATGGTTCAGGGCTCGGCTGATAAGCAAACCTAAGCGATGAGTCGTTGGTGGGGAGCGAAGTGAGATTGCCGGCAGAATTTGTGAGGACCGGTAGAATGTGTTCAGACTCATGAACTGGAGCAGTAGGAAGAGAGGAACAATGAAAGTGAAGCAGGCTAGGATGAAGATGTATTAGCGATTCATAAGTCTCATTTGCTGAATGTGACAACTGTTGCTGGGGGCGGAGATGGGTGAGGGTCGGTCGAGGCGGAAAGCCTAAAGGCGTCAGGCCAGGCAGATAGGAATTAGGAACAGATGCTACATGTACTTGTTTGGTACTCGTCTGAGACAATGATGGTTGATGCAGACAAAAAGAAGACGGCTGATTTGGTGGGCAATGACTAGTATTACAATCTACAGCCTGAGTGGGCCAGTATGGTGTCAGATGTGCGCATTGAGTGAGGTGAGCCTGGTGATGTCTGAGTATGTCTGGTGAGGCAATTGTGACTGGAGGGTACGACTTGAAAGAGTTGGAACCGAGAGTAGCAGCAGGAAGGCCACTTGAAGCACCGGTTCTGGCATTGCTTGCCTCAGTTGACCCTGCCCAGTTATGTTCCCGATCGCCACACTTGCTGGAGATGAGTACCGTGTTCGGCTCTAAGCGTTGGTAGCAAGTAGGAAAGGAGTTGAAATGAAAATTCATGCTCTCATTAGCGGCCGGTATTGAGGAATACAGGACCGAGTGATCAGAGTAATTAGGCTGGAGAAACGTCCATC